TGACAGTCGAGTCTAGGATGCTCTGATACGTAGCACGGGACTTGGGCGTTTTTATTTGTTTTCTGAAGAACTTATATTTTATTTTCCTGTAAACGTATCAAACTTTTATTGGATTTTAATATTTTTAATATTCCGCTGTATTTTTTTGGAGGAAAACCTTTTATAAAGGAAATGTTGATTTTATGTGATATCCCACTGGGGAGAAATACTCTGATGTTTATTTACGATGTTTATTAATTTAATTGATTTTGGGAAGTGGGGTGTTACAACTTCCACATGAAGTCCGGATGAATTAGGCACCCATCATGGATTCCCACCTAGCCATCTCCATAAGACACATGACATGAAATGCATGACAACACAATTATGCAATATAATAATTCAAGCATAATTTCATGATCATCAATGATTCACACGAGCCATCCGCTCACGTAATCCTCTCGGGAATTACCACCATCGCATAAGATTGTCCACATTTGACAATCCTGGCTCATACTCATCAACACAATCATAATGTCACACCCATATAATTCCACATTCTCTCTAATTAAATTCGTTCTTGATCTTTCTTAGGTTCATTTTAGTCATATTAGCCCTACTGATTAAACTGAAATGCGTTCCAAGAGAACACTGGACAGAAATCACCAAAATTGGGGAAAAGTCATCCCAGACTTTCCATACCCGTATCAGCATGGCCCATACGCATTTTGCCTACTGTCATACGCGTATCAGACCTTCTTACGTGTAAGACCAGAGGCCTAAACCTCCTAAAAACCCCTCAGGGTCAAACCTTATGCGTATGACTGCTCCCATACGCGTATCGCCCAGACCCATACGCATACCACACACGTATCACCAGATGGGCGTGCTGGCACTGGGGACAGGGCACGTCTGCTATGCGTACAACCCCTTGGGAAGTCCCCCATACGCATATTGACACCTCCAATACGCGTATGACCAATAGATCTATCAAAAAAACTCAGATCTCAACCTCTCCACGAGTTTCTACCTAAGATTCATCAATCTATCTCCTCATTCATCCTAAAAATCAGTTTTCTATCGATTCATTCTTCTTACCATCTATTCTGTCAAGATTTTATTCATCAGGTCTAGTTTCGATTACGATTGATCCATTAGTTTTCAGACCTATTAACTATCGGATTTACCTACAACATCAATGAGTTTTTACACGAATTTCGTATCAGTCACAGATTCACACACACAAACATCACATAATAATCATTCCATAATAACAGCAATCTTGGGAATTCATCAGGTTACGAAATACAGATCAAGAAATCAACAACAGACATGAATCCTATGAGAGAAAGGACCTCTCCATACCCTCTCATGCTAATTCACCCATATTGAAATCCATTCTCCCCCTTACCTTGGATTTGATCTCTTGCTTGACAACAATGGAGAAATCTTGGTTCCTCTGCCCTAGCTCTCCTTTCTCTGTCTTTTTCCTCTTTCACGAGTTAAATGACTAATCCCACTAATACTCTCTTAACCCTCTTAATTAGATTTTAATTCATTTAATTTAATCAATATTAATAATAGTAATAATAATAACTATAATACTAACTACTCCCCCATTAATCTTATTATTAGTAGTAATTAAAATAATAATACTAATAAGCATACTATTCTTACTATTATCATTAAATCATTCACATTATTTATTATGGTTCCACCTTGTCTTAACTAAGTTTCAACTCTCACTCATGCCCTTAACCTCCTACCCTTAATTAAGGACATCCCGACAAATACACATCACAGAAAATACAAAAGAGACTAAATAATTTAAATGGGATGTTACAACTCTCCCCCACTTAAAATATTTTCGTCCTCGAAAATGTACCTGATGAGAACAATTCCGGATACGACTCTCGCATCTTGCTCTCCAATTCCTAGGTCACACTTCCTCCAGCAGCTCCCCCAAGCTACTCCCACCAACGAGATATCTTTCCCTCTTAGTTGTTTCATCTTGCGGTCTTCGATCCTCAACGGCATCGCCTCCACCGTAAGGTTATCTTGAACATGCACTTCATCTCTCTGAAGCACATGAGACAGATCAGCAACATACTTTCGAAGTTGCGATACATGAAACACGTCATGCAGATTCGAAAGTTCAGGTGGCAACACCACTCTATAGGCAACCGTTCCAACCATTTGCAGAATCTGATACGGTCCAATAAACTTAGGATTCAACTTCTTTAATTTCATCACACGACCAACATCGGTCACCTGGTTGACTCTAAGAAATACATGGTCACCTTCGCTGAATTCTAAGTCTTTCCTCCTATTATCATGGTAGCTTATCTGCCTACTCTGGACCGTCTTCATTTTCTCTCTAATCATCTTGATTATCTCTGTAGTCTGTTGCATAATCTCGGGTCCGAGTACCGTACTCTCGCCCGACTCATACCAACATAGAGGTGTCTTACACCTCCTACCATACAATGCTTCAAAAGGTGACATTCCAATACTGGAATGATAACTGTTGTTATAAGTAAATTCAATCAGCGGTAAATGAGTATCCCAAGCGCCTACCCGCTCAAGTATACAAGCCCACAACAAATCCTCCAATGACTGAATAATCCTTTCAGATTGTCCATCTGTCTGCGGGTGATAAGCAGAACTCAATTTCAAACTAGAACCCAAAGCTTCTTCCAAGCGTTTCCAAAATCCAGAAGTAAACCTCGGGTCTCTGTCCGATACAATGCTCGACGGAACCCCGTGTAACTTCACTATCACTCTGATATAAATTTTTGCTAACTTCGTCAAAGGAAAACTGATGTTAATCGGTATAAAATGCGCCGACTTTGTCATTCTATCCACATCACCCAAATTGCATCAAAGCTTCTCGCCGTATTCAACAATCCAGTCACAAAGTCCATGGCAATACTATCTCATTTCCACTCCGGTATTTCCATCGGTTGCATCAAACTGGAGGGTTTCTGATGTTCCACCTTCAACTTCTGGCAAGTCAAACAAGCATACACAAACTGAGTTATGTCCTTCTTCATACCCAGCCACCAAAATAATTTCTTCAGGTCTTGATACATTTTCGTAGCTCCTGGATGAATACTCAAGCTACTCCTGTGGCTTTCTTGCAAATTTACCTTTTTCAAGTTAGGATTATCTGGCCCACAAATTCTGCCTCTGAACTTCAACACACCAGAATCATCTACTTTAAAGTCTTCTTCTTTATTTGTTCCGCCTACGGTCATCACGTCTACCAATTTCAAATCCAGTTTCTGACCTTCTCTTATTTCGCGAAGGAACTCATTATTCACTTTCAACATCCCCAACATTACACTTTTCGAAGTCAACTCACAACCCATACTCAAGTCTCTAAACTACTCAATCAAATCTAATTCTATAATCATCATCGTCGACATATGTACCGTCTTCCGACTCAGAGCATCTGCCACGACGTTAGCTTTACCTGGATGGTAACTCAAGCTAAAGTCATAGTCTTTCATAAATTCCAGCCATCTTCGCTGCCTCATATTTAATTCCTTCTGGTCAAACAAATATTTCAAACTCTTATGGTCACTGAACACTTCGAATCTCGACCCGTACAAATAATGCCTCCAAAATTTTAATGTGAAAACCAATGCAGCTAACTCAAGATCATGAGTACACTACAACATTTGTTGTCTCTGGCAACACTTTTTTAGCTAACGTGTAAAAATTGTTGCCTAAAATTCGTAAAGGCAACAATTTATGGGTGTTGACAAAAATATATATGCAACCCTTAATAATCGTTGCCTAAAATACTTTTGGGGACATTTTTAGAGCGTCACTCTTTTATTTTTTTGGCAACGATTGTTAAATGTGCCTTTAACTACTTTTGGGGACGATTTTGGAGAGTCATTATACTATTTCTTTAGCAATGTTTGATAGTTGTCCCCTTAAATATTTTTGGGGACATTTTTAGATTGTTACATTACTTCTAATAAAAGGCTACATTCATTCAATGTTGCATAAAATTTTAGGAACATCAAATTTTTGGAGGCAATCTTCCCTCCAAATATATCCACTAAAAAAATATTTTTCTCTAAACATTATTAAAAAGAAATTAAATATAAAAAATCATTTAACACTTAATATAATAATATACTATACAAAAACTATATACATATCATTCTAAAAAAAATTAAACATATCAACCCACTACTCCTCCCTATATCCATCTTTCAGAATAATATATATATATATATATATATATATATATATATATATATATATATATATATATATATATATATATATATATATATATATATATATATATATATATATATATATATATATATATATATATATATATATATATATATATATATATATATATATATATATATATATATATATATATATATATATATATATATATATATATATAATAAAAAGAAAAAAAGAAAAAAAATTGAAAAGGAAAACGTGAGGCATGTTTCAGAATAACATATATACAAAAAATTGAAAAAAGAAAAAAGAAAAAAAAATTGAAAAGGAAAACGTGAGGTTCTCCCAGCTTTCTTCAAACATCCCACCGTCGATCTCATCCAAAATCCACCGTCTGCTCTCACCACCACCAAACCAGCAACCACCTCGACGAATTTCTCAAATCTTCAACAGTTGAAGATGAAGCCTTTCGTTCTGGCATCTTACCCCTTTCCCGCATCGTAACCGCTCACTGTAATCCCACTCACTGTTACACATGTATCCTTGCTTTTAGTTAAGTTTCAATTTTTAGTATTTACATGTCAAACATACCTAAACCTTGTTTTTGCATTTCACTGATATCGTAAAGCCTTAGTTGTGTTTGTATTGCATGAATTGTAGTGTTTTTCAGTGCGGTGTGCGTATCGGTGTGAAATTCTTCATCCGAATTCAAAATCATATGAGGGCGTGCGCGAGATGAAATGGGTCAAAAAATCATATTTTCTTAGCGATCTAAGACATGTATATAAATTGATGATAATAAAATGGTTGCAGTTTCAGGAGCAGTGTGTGCATCAACTCTTGCTCGAAATGGGGTTTCTGTTACACTTTTTGAGTCTGCTAGAGGCCCTGGTGGACGCATGTCCCAGGGAAGGTTCTTCGCTACTTTTATTAATTTCTTCAGATTTATATTACTATATTATTGCTACAGAATTTTTGCAGTTTCTTCGTAATTACATTCAATTTATTTATTTATTTTAATTATTATCAGTGTTGTGTTTGGTGTGAGTCTCTGTGTCCTGTTTTATAGATCTTTTAACCTTTGTTTGAAGTTGACATTTCCTTTTGAATGATACTGGAATTCCTTTACATTGGTTTAGTGATGATTTGAAAGATGGTTCTAAGTTTTCTTATTTTCTAAAAATCCAGAGAGAAAACTGAAGATGGAAAGGAGCTGCATTTCGACCATGGTGCTCCGTTTTTCTCAGTTAGTAAGCCGGAAGTGGCGCGTCTCGTTCAAGAATGGGAGTCGAGGGGTCTCGTAACTGAATGGAAAGAAAAGTTTGGCTCATTTGATTTTCAAACCCTTAAGTTTGACAACATAGAGCATGTTTACAAGTATTCTTCATATTTTAAGATTGGTTAAGCAGTTTTTGCTATTTTATTATTATTGGTGTCACCAACACTTCAGATTGAAAGGGTGTCCAACGTCGACACATGTAGTGGTGTCTTGTCTGTGTCTGTGTCACTCTTTCGTAGTGTATCTTAGTTGCACAGTGAATATTAGAAAAAACATGGAATTTTTAGGGAAATTCATTATTTGTTTCTTCCATTTTCAACACCAGTTATGCACTCATTCATATTATGTAGAAGACACGGCTTATGCCTGAGCCAAGTGCATTTAAGATCAAATTTATTAGAATAGTTTCTTCTCAGACTGGTATATTTTTTAGGAAGGATTAAGCAAGAGATTTGTGGGTGTTCCAGGCATGAATTCAATCTGCAAAGCATTATGCAATGAGAGTGGTATCTACTTAAGTATTCAAGACAAATATGATTGACCAATTAGTTAAGAAACAAGCAATAGCAGAACCACCATCAAGTTGCAACAGTTTGAATAGTTAAAATATGTATGACCTGCTTGTATTTTAATTCAAATGACAGTAACAATATATGGTTATTTATGTGCTATTATAGGTAGTTTGATTAGTTATTTTCTTGTAACTAATAGTTGTTACATAGTGTAGTTAGTAGCAGGAGTAGTGCAATAGTTGTGAATAAAATGTGTCCTCATTTTGTCTTAGCATTTAATTTCTAATGCCTAAAAAATGTTTTACTTTATTCAATATGATGAGTGATCTTATCTCATTCATGGTAGAAATATAAATAAAACTTCCTTAAAGCGGAAGGGGGAGGTTAATGCTTTGAAACAAGCACACAGTGAAGAGGTCTCTACATTAAGGAATGAGTTTCAAGATCAGACTGATAGATTGCAAAATGCTTTTAAGACTGTAATAGAACAATGCAATCCTCAAATTAATTTGGAGTCAATTGAAGATTTGTTAGGATTATCTCCTGGAGACAGAGATTAGTGATTTTTTAATATATGACTCGTTATCTTTCAAATTTTCAAAATCAATAGTTGCTGATGATTTCTAGTGGTCTTGTGCAGATTGGATACGGCGGTCCCGACACCATGGGAAGCCTAATCAGGGTAGTTAGTGGTCATGGTGGCATTGATGTCTACTTCAGCTTGGCTATCTTGTATCTTATCTCAATATGACCAACTTCCATTTTCTTTGTGTAACTTTCATTTTCTTCATCATGAATCTGATTACTACTTCAATCCGTCACCGCTGACCTGTCTATTCTATTTTTGCATCAGGTTCTTGTTTGTACCCGGTCAAAAGTGGCATTTGTTTGTCTTGATTATAATTTGTAGGTATCAAGCTCAAGGAACTTCAACTTGGATCATATAGATAAAAAGCCTTAGCGCAAGATTAAGTTGGTATAGAGAGACTTGCATAACTCACAGATCTAAGTCTTGTAAAATACTTGTAGCCTGAAATTTGAATGCCATGTTTTTTTTTTGTAATTCTCTTGACTTTTGGCTTTCCATGGTGATTATAGAGAAAACAAGGTGCTTCAAAGGTGTCTTGTGATACTGGTAGCTTACAGAAGACTTGAGGTGGGAGCTAGGCATGAACACTAAGAAGTCACGAGCGAAAAACCATCCATGAAGTCTATTTGTGTGCTGCTCATGATAAAAACGGATCTTGGAGTGAAATGAAAGGCATTGTTAGGTATAAGACTGAATATTTTGTATAGCTTTTCTTACTCATAACTCTAGCCCATGATTTTTCATGATCTTAGAATTCTGCCGCCATCTTAACTTGATTGTTTTGTGACTTAATCAAACCTTGTAATCTTGTACTTTTGCAGGTACAACACTGAAGCTTTTAAAAATGGCATATTTGCATAATTTAAGTGGCTGCCTCTTAGTCACGCGGATGACATTTAAGGCGAGAATGACGATGATTAACTCCTTCACGCATAAAGAGGGCAATGATGGGCACTGAGGATTGTATTATGGCATCATCTCATTTCCTTCTGCTTTGCATATTCGCGACCTCGTCAAGTTGAGTTAGGTGTATTGAATTGTTGTATACACATATATGCAAGTTATTTGTGTTAGAATGACATGTTGCTGCAATTTCTTTCCACGGGTGATGGTTCATGACTCATTTAAAAAATCTGGAGAAGGATTACCGTCGCGTGGAATATGAGCAGGGTCCATCCTCATTCTAGTCTTCGTGTGTTATCCTGTTGCTTCTCAATTCGAAAGGACATTGTCATGATTCCTCGCGAACAAAACCAACAGTCAAATAGAGCTAAGCCGAAGCCTTCCAAACGTGAAGAAAGAACATAATTTATACAAGAAATATTGGAGTGTAGGATAGCATTTTCTGAGTTAATTCTGTTAGGGGCTAGTTTTGAAATTCTGTTAACAGAATATCAAAAAATAAACCTTGTTACTTTCTCTTGTAATTTTCTGTCATGAATTGCAACCTTGTAATTTTCTGTCATGAATTACAGCACAACCTTATAATTTTCTGTCATGAATTGATTTACTTTTGTTTTTCTACTTTTCTTTAGCAAGACACAAGGATGAGAATGACTCGTGAGGATGATGATAAGGCATAACATTCTTTTGGCATGGACTTGGTAGTTTGGTATTTTGTAAGTCTTTTATGCATTTGAGTCTGCAAGGAATAGCTTTGGTGCTAACTGTTGCTTCTTTTTGTTTGTGTGTTTCTTGGTATGACAGGGATATCCGGCTTATGGTATAGATCTTCAAATCCATCCCGTCCTTGCTGCTCAAGAAAACCAATTAATCACTCCTTCATGATAACGACTATGGCGATTTTTCATAGCAATCCGTGGCGGCAGTAAAACAAAGTTGAAGCTTCTGGGTGAAGGATCGAAGTTCTCGTTGATTTCCATGAAAACTTCATCAGATGTTGCTGCACATTTTCAACTGCACTGTAACAACGCTATGTTAAAGACTAAATTGTCCAAAAGACGCTTCTCAATGTCTCTATTTGTATCTTATCCAAATTCTGACATCAATACTTGTGTTGCTCTATACATTTTTACTCAAGTTATTTTTGTTGAAACTTGTTTTTATGCGAGACCAGTTTCCGAAAAGATGCGCTGCTAATGAGATTATACTTTTTGTTTACAATTCTGCAGGTATTGGCCTTCACCTAATGCAGAGCGGCGCGGTAACTTCGGGTTAAACACTCTTGTGATGTTGTCTTTGTAAGTTTCCTTTTTCTTTGAATTTCTCCCTATCTTGGTCATGAGTAAAAACTCTATAGGTGTATTGTCATCATCAATACTTCTCAACATATTCTCTTCTCTTCCTTGAAATGGCCATTGGCTTCTATGTATTTAATATTTTCTTCATTTGTTGTTGTTTTTAGTTAACATCTCTATAATCTTAGCACTCACACGGGTCTGACTTGATTACAATATTGGTAGATTCTTGCAGAATCTAGAGGAGACCTTTTACCTGATCCTCAAAAGCACATGCTACTGTTGTAGGTTCTGTTACAAAGAATTACATATCTACACTGTTGTAGGTTCTGTTACAAAGAATTACATATAAATAATAAGTTCTTGTTGCTGCAACTTTTATTTTTAGTCCGAATTTAAATACATATAGTAGTTATCTATTCCTCATTTTGACCATCATTTAAATTTTAGAATGTCTTACCTTTTGGGTTCTCATCATTCTTTTGCTCTTGGTGAACGTTGGTGAACATTTCTGTTTTGAACTTGTTCTTTGAGTTTTGTGTTAACTGTTTAGTTTTAGTTCCATATCACATCATTTTTCTTCTGATGTAACTTTATAACTGCAGAAACTGGACATGATGTCGAGGAACTAGAAAGCACTAGCAACGAGGAGGTTGATGAGTTAGTGTTTTCCAGTGACATGCCTCACCTCTACCTGCGAGAACCTAGAACATGTAATTAAGTTGTATCTAAATGGCAATTGAAAGGAAAAAGGAATAACCGGAACCTTATAAAAAGGTCTGTTGTTGTAAAAATGTCTGCTGTTACTTGAGAAAATTAATAGGCCACCTTTAAAGGCGTCAACAAATGTGGATGCGTTGAATACTGGTGTGGAGAGAAAATCGTAGGTTACATGTACATTGTTATAAATTAGAATAATAATCTTGCAGTGGTGACACAAGTTTGTTTTCTTACTTCCAACTAAATATAAATTTTATTTAATTTTTTCTTGGTATATTGAGGATGAGTTTGATGTATAGACCCCAATTCATTTTGTCGATAGATGAACAGAAGAACAGAAGTTAAGCTCTATTTCTAGATGAAACTAACACTAACCGTTACCATTAGATAATTTGTTTACCGGGTACTATCTTGAATTAATGTTTGAACTCAATTCTATTATAATATTACAACTTTTATGGATGTACGGTTAAATTTGATCTTGTTTAAATTATAATCAACATTTTTTTAAATCCAATCATTATCGACTATATTATTTAGAAAATAATTGTGAAATTGTATATTTTATGGGGACACCAAAAAAACAACCTATAAGCTATGGCTACACTTTAAAAATGATCCTCCTGATTCAGACTTTTAAGGCAACAATTATTAATTGTAGCCGCATATGGCAACGCTTAAAAACCGTTGCCTCAGAGGCCACAAATAATCGTCCCCTATTCCTTTTGTTTAGGCAACGTTTTTAAAAAGCGTGCCCATAGAACATGAAAAAACGTCCCCTCAGACTATAGGCAACGCTCGCACAGGATACGCCTAGAAAACGTCCCCTATTCTTTTAGGCAACATTTTTCAGAGTTTTGGCAACATTTTTGAATGGTTGCTGGAGAGCCTAAATGTTGTAGTGTTGGTGTGTTGTTTCTACAATCTGCAACCACATGACCTGACTTCCCACACTTAAAACACTTCTTCACCTGATTCTGACATTCATTCGCACGGTGACCTGCGCCACCACATCTGAAACACTTGAGAGGATTGGAGGATTTTCTACCCTACTTGGTTTTTTCCCAGCAACATCCTTCTGCTTTCCTTTATCAGTCGGAGCATGGTAAGGTGTATTCTCATGTTTCCGTTTACCTCTTCTGTCACTCAGATTCTTATAGTGAGAGATTTTAGCTCTGTTGTCTTCATCATAGATCCTACACGTGTTCACCAGCTCAGGAAAGTATCTGATCTTCTGATAACCGATACCCAACTTGATCTCAGGACGCATCCCATTCTCAAATTAATTCACTTTGAACTCATAGCCGCATCAGTGTTGTAATGAGGACAATACTTTACCAGTTCTTCAAACTTAACTGCATACTCAGCCACTGTCAGGTTCCCCTGCTTCAACTCGATGAATTTGATCTCTTTCTTTCCGTGAATGTCTTCCGGAAAGTACCCTTCCAGAAACTCTACCCTAAATATTGTCCAACTAATAAGACCCTCACCAGCTTCTAACCTCTGACGGGTGTCATCCCAC